GAGGTCGGGATGGGACGGGAGTCGGGAGGTCGGGATGGGAGACGGGTTGGCACATACTCAGGGGAGCAAAGGAGGGAGACATCGGTATCAGGGAGYCGGGAGGTCGGGGGAGACGGGTTGCGACGCGGTCGGGGAAGCAAGGGGAGAGAGGGAGAGGTCAGGACGGGGAGGTCGGGATGGGAGGTCTGTTTTGTCGAGTGAGGTCGCGGTCGGGATGGGGAACGGGAACGGTGAAGGGAAAGGTCGGGATCACGTCGACAGGTCGCCGTCGGGAGAACAAAGGGGGAGAGGGAGAGGTCGGGATCAGGGAGGGAGGGTTGGGACGATGTCGAGGTTGGGATGGGATGGGAGTCGGGAGGTCGGGATGGGAGACGGGTTGGGACACACTCAGGGGAGCAACGGAGGGAGACATCGGGATGAGGGAGTCGGGAGGTCGGGATGGGAGACGAGTTGGGACGAGGTCGGGGAAGCAAGGGGAGAGAGGGAGAGGCCGGACGGGGAGGTCGGGATGGGAGGTAGGCGGAAGGAAGCAGAGGGGGAGAGAGGTCGAGACTGGAAGGAAGGGAAACTGACAAGGAGAGGTCGGGATCACGAAGCGAGAGTTGGGACGATGCCGAGGTCGGGATGGGATGGGAGTCAGGAGGGATCTGGGCGTGTGAGACCAGTCGCGAGGATATTGGGATAGGGGACAGGGACAAAGGAAGGAAAGGGGGGGTGTCTATATAGGATACATGAAATGAACTGTTTTAGCCTTCTTTTTTTTTCTTTTTTTTTCTACTCCATCGGTGAACGGATACCATTTGTTTAGATATATATATTTTCTGAATTTGACTTTTGTCAATTTTTTTTTTTTTTTCTCAATTCTTTTTTACTTCCTCGTTTTTTTTTTTCTTTTTTTTCTTTTTTTTTGGGATAACGTCTAAAATGGACTTTTTTCCTTCGACGTTAGGAATGTAATTTTCTTTTTTGAAAAATCATCTGTATTAATCAACTACTTTTTTTTGTGACGCCGATTGCGGAATCCAATGCTCTATTGCGTCACTGAATAAAATCCACTCTTTTCGTTTCCTTTCTTTTATTTTTCCTTTTTTTTTTTTTTTTACTCTATCGATAAATCAATATGATTTATGTCTGTCATATTCGTCTTCCTTTTTTTTTTTCCTTTTGTTTTGGGAGGAGCGCCACCTGAAAAATAACTCACTGGCGGGATGGGCGAAACCAAATTTTCTTTGTCGTATTTTGTCCCTCGCTTATTACATATATACATATTGTTGTCCTCTTTTCTCTCCATGCCTACGGTTTACCGGGCAGTTCTGATTGTGATGATATATATATATATATTTGACGATATATATGTATATATTTTTTTTTACGAGCCGATTCGTGCTGTGTATCTTTCTTTTTATTTATGTTTTATTTTAATTTATTTTTATTCCTCAAAGTCGCAGTTACACGAAAAGAAAAAAAAAATTACACATGAACAAAATGGTTGAATTAACTAATCATTCTCATTTTTGTCTTCATGTTTTGTATGTTCCATGCTTTCTCTTCCGTATTCCTTTCTCCTTTCTACACAGGTATAATAACTGCTTTCTTCTACCTATTCCTTCCTGCTCTCTACACGATGATTCCCAACATCAGCCGAAAGTTCCCGCACTGCCATAGAAAGAGCACGATCTGCAGCAAGAGAACGACAGAGACGTTTCGGACAAAGACACGTTGAGAATATCCTCCTACGAATCAACAATGCACGCATTCACACGTCTACCTTATTCAGTCGATATAATTGATCTCGGAAATAGGACACCTTGCGCACACTGTCAAGCGGAAAAATGGCCTCACGAACATCCGTGGACATCACTCTGCTGCCTGTGTGGCAAGGTACACCCGCCGCTCTGGACGTATCCCGACGCAATGACACCTGCTGCCCGCATTTTTTATCTATGGGAAAAAGATAGTAGACATGGTAGATTGTTACGATCGCGCGCATGCCAATTCAATACAGCACTTCCCCTTGCATCCCAATCCGTCAAGGAAACCCAGATGCCTGCTGGGTGCTGGCCAGGTATGCTAAGAATAGAAGGTCAACTCCAACAACACATCGGTCCGCTGCTCCCAAATGAGAACCAACAACCATCCTTTGCCCAAATATATATACATGATCCGCAAGATGGCAATAACGCAACCCTCTTACGTTTACAGAGACTCGACCTACCACAAGACACCCTGCTTGCCACGGTCCAAGCCATCAAGTCTCTCCTACGAACTCTTCATTCCTTACTTTGTCAATGCAACGGATGGGTTGAAGATTTCATTACCCTCTTTGAATTCCCGGAACATGCACGAGAAAATGTCCATGTTGTCATCAATCCACATGTACGCCCGTTACAAGAGCATGCACAAAGATACAACAAACCAGAAGGCCTCCAAGAGCTCTGTGTTCTAATGCATGACGAACCCGTTAATCGAGAAATTGTGATCCTCCGACGTGCGGGTGGAGTTTTACCTATTCCAGAATGAATTGGGCATTTGATCCACTACACTATACCCTGCTTTTTCCATCAGGCGAAGATGGATGGGCGGCTGAACAAGATGACCAAGCGGATCCTAATATGCATAATATCACTGCACGAGAATTCTACGCATTCCATCTCAATACACGACATACAGAAAGAACCACAATTTTTCATGCTTCACGTCTTTTCCAAGAGTACGTTTGTATGGCGTTTGCTAAAATTGAGAATGCCTGTCTTTTGTACAATCGCTTCCACCAGGCAGAGATCCGGGCAGATCTCTATCAAAACCTCCATGACCACGTTATGTTAAACGACAACGCATAAAATATTGGCCAACGGATTATTCTTCCTGCATCATTCACAGGTAGTCCGCGCGACATGCATCGACGATATCAAGATGCAATGGCCGTTGTTCAAGAACTGGGTGCTCCCCGATCTTTTCATCACAATAACCTGCAATCCGCATTGGCCTGAAATTGAAAGCGCACTCATGCCAAACCAACAACCTGCGGATAAACCTGATTTGCTTGCGCGCATCTTCAAAGGATACTTACGATAGCTCATTCATGACATCCACTCGAGTCACGTCTTTGGAATAACCACCACATATGTCTATACTATCAAATTCCAAAAGCGTGGCTTACCACATGCTCATCTTATTGTCATTCTTAAAGACGATGCACGAACAAATTGATACTATTGTTTGTGCTGAAATCCTCGAAAATCCGGAACTGCGCGAACTTGTCTTAACTCATATGATACACAATCCATGTGGAATATACAATCCTACCGCGTCATGCATGCACAATGACCAATGCACACGATTCTTCCCCAAAGAATTTTCGAAGCGAACAATATGGATATGTACCGTCGTCGTGCACTGTCTGATGAGGAATAATAGCTTCTCAACGTGAGTAACTGCTCGACAACTCTTGGATTGTACCTTATAATCCGCACCTCCTCCTTCGCTACCCCTGCCATATAAATGTTGAAATTTGCGCATCAACGGCCGTTTGTCGCTATATGTTATAATATATCTTAAAAGGTTCAGACAGAGCAATGGTCGCTGAGGCACTTAATACAAACGATGAAATTCAAACCTATCAAGACATGCGCACGATTGGTGCAATTGAAGCATGTTGGAGAATTTTCGACTTCGTCGTGTCAGAACAATATCCTCCTGTAACCGCACTTCCAGTTAATATGGAAAACCGACAACGCGTTTATTTCCGACAGCAACAACAAGCTCGACAAATTGCACATGCTCTGCCACCCGAAACCGAACTCACAGCATGGTTCAAATGGAATGCTACACATCTTCATGATCCTCAAGAAACTAAGCCCTTTTACAAAGACATGGTCCTGCGACGACGTGCAGCAAACACAATCGACCGTATCCACAACATCCATCCAAATGCAGGTGACACATTCTACCTGCGCATGTTACTCACTTCGCCACACTCCCGCGGTACAACCACATTCGCCCACTTACGAACCGTCGACAACCACACTCACCCTACATTCCAATCTGCATGCAAGGCACTCGGCCTTCTTAATGACAACACAGAATTTGACGTTGTCCTTCGTGATGCTATTTTCACGTCGCCATCATCTATGGTCCGTGATCTTTTCGTCCACATCATTTTACATTGCAATCCTGCGGATCCTAACGAACTTTTTGAAACACACTGGGAACAAATGATGGACGATTACCATAGAAACCTTGGTGGCGCCAACATTACACAAAATCTTTTGAGAACGCTTCTGCGCTTAGACATCGAAGATCGCCTTCAAAAAGAAGGTAAAGAACTTGAAGATGTTTGTCTTATCCCACCACTCGCAGCAAACCGAAACGAAGCAACCCACCTCGCAGAACGGCCACGTCGAAGCGGGATTACAATACTGATTGATGATGAAATATCGTATGACAAACAAGAATTGCAACGAACACTCGATATCAATCTTCCGCTTTTTCGACCATCACAACATGCACTATTCCAACGAGTTGTCACCGCTGCGGAAAATAATGAACCGCTCTGCCTCTTTGTTGATGCTCCTGTAGGAACTGGAAAAACTTTCTGCTTCAACATTATCCTCGCGCTTATACAAATGCAAGACCGAATTGCTCTGGCTGTTGCGTCAAGTGGCATTGCAGCGACACTCCTCGCCGGAGGTCGAACTTTTCACTCTCGCTTCAAAGCTTCACTAACACCAACCGAAACATCTACTCTAGACATTTTTAAACAAAGCACGCTTGCTGACCTCATTCGCATGGCAGTCACTATTGTCTTGGATGAAGCTCTTATGATAAACAGATACCAAGTTGAAGCCATGGACAAAACATTTCAAGATGTTTGCTCCTCTGCCCTACCCTTTGGTGGCAAAGTTATGGTCCTCGGAGGTGACTTCAGACAAATCTTGCGTGTTGTTACCAAAGGAACCCGCGCACAAACAATTGCTGCATGTCTAAAATCTTCACCGCTTTGGGAGCATTTCCAAACGATGCACCTGACTGAAAACATGCGCGTTCTCGCCGTGAATAACACTACCGAAGCCCAATAGTATGCTCAATGGTTACTCACATTCGGCAATGGCGATCTGGAGCAACCAGACCCGACGTTGCCGAACAAATTACCCTTCCATCTCACCTATGCCTCCATGGAGGAACGATGGACCTCATTGGCTGGACATTTCTCAATCTTACAACAAACTATCTTAACCCACAATGGCTCGCTGAACGCCTTGTTCTAGCTAAAAAAAATAAGACTGTTTCGGCCCTGAACTCAATAATCCTTGACCAATTTCTTGGCTCTCCTATCTCATCCCTTAGTGCCGACACACTCCTTCCAAACGATACATATCCCGACATCTCTATCGGCACTCTTAATACTATAGATCTACCTTCACTACCACCACATATTCTCCATCTAAAACAACATGCTCCCATCATTCTTTTGCGCAACATAGCGATGAGAAATGGTCTTTGCAATGGCACGAGGCTGATTCTCGACTCTATAACCAACAACCGCTTGCTGCATTCGCGCATCTTGCCATCACTCAAACCCGCTCTACTCCCACGAATTCTGCTTTCAAGTCCAATTCCATAATAACGACGACAATTTTATGTCCGTCCAGCCTTCGCAATCACAATAAACAAATCCCAAGGACAATCGATCAAACACGAAGGCATCGACCTCTGACAACCAGCCTTTGCCCATGGCCAGCTCTACGTTGCCGCA